AGCATGATATCGGGGGTGGGAGGGCAATAGATGGGGGGAGGGGGGTTGTTACTTTGTGAGGGTGAAAAGGGTAACTATTGCATTGTTCTGTACACTTGAAACTAACAATAAAAATAAATAAATAAATAAATAAAAAGAAGGGCCCCTTACTCTCCAGAGGATGCTCTGGGAACAGCACAGATGTGCCCTAGACCTCCAAGAGTTTCCGGCTACCTAAAATCATCACCCTCGCTAACTGGCTAGGAAACCACCCTCCCATTACCTAAAACTACCCCTGCCACCAAACGAGAATTCCTTCATAAAGTCCAGATGACAATCCCTCTCCCAGGTCAGACCACAAAGGCTTATCACTCTTTGGCAAAGGCAGGACTGTGAGACACAAGGGTGGCAGGGCCACATGTGGCATAGGACCCAAGACGGGGTCAGAGGGCCCCAGAATTAAGGGAAGAACAAACTTGAGATGATGGAAGTCTGTAGTGGGTCCCCAAAAAGGGTCCCTAAAAGTTGTCCAACTTCACTAACTATTCCTTTGAGCCCCAATCTAACACTGGGCCTCTTTGACCAAAAAAATAGCAAGAATTTATTTAGCATGTAACAGGAGCCCAGGGAGAAAGAAGGTGGGGGAGAGGGAGGAAAAATAAAGAAAGCAGCTCTTCTTTTCTTTTATTTTAAACTGTTTTTGAGAAAAATGAAAAATTGTCTGAGTCACATATAAGCGACAGAGAGCGAGCCATGGCTCCACTTTTGATTGAGTGCAAATCCCCCTAGGCAGGGCCACTCCTAGGAATGTGGGGCTCCTGTCTATATAAACAATTTGAGTCAACCAAACTCTGTGTGTCAACACCATTCTGGCTGCCCAACCTCATGCAGTCCCACGAAAGAAATACCATGCTGGCCAGTGGGAGCAATCAGCGTGCAAGGCAGCCCTCCAGGAACCAGAATCCAACCACAGGGCCCCAAGACAGCACCATAGGCACAAGTTCTGGGCTCTTTCAGGCATTTGGTCAACCCCCAAAAACAGGGGTAGTGGTAACAGCAAGTCAGACCATGTCCCAAAGGGGAGAAACAGGAACCACTAGCCTACATAGGAGTGGCCTGGGCTTGGGGCACCCCAATCCGATGGCTCTGTTGACCCCAGCTGGTCCTAGGCACTACAGGATGGACTTACAAACTTTTAGGAAAAGCGCTCCAAATCCTGGAGACCCTTAGGCACAGGATCCAAATTCATACTCACACTGCTGCTGTCCCAGAAAACACATCCCTCGCCACATAGCCCCAACTCCACTTTTCTCAGAGTGTGCATCGCAGTCCCAGGAAATGTTTAAATCCAATAGACATCTCCCAGGCACCTCCCATAACAGCTACACTGGAGGAGTAAAGGTACAAGAGACAGGGCATGGTCTACAAAGAGCTTCCCATCGGGTACGAGAGGCTCAGTGACAAGAGGCAGAATGAGCCAGACGCTAGTAGGGTCATGACACCAGGCCCTCTGCCATGAAGGCACATGGCATAGGTGGGAGGATGGAACAGAGACAGGGGCTGAGCAGAGGTACCCAAAATGATGAAAGAGGGAGACAGGTAGCCAGTCTGTCCCCAGATTACTGGGGGAAGGGGCTGGAGGCCCTGCTGTAAGTCTGTCTTCTGTTTCTTTGTAGGGAACTATGGCAAGTTTTTTTAAGAGAGCAGCCTAATCCAATCAGAGTTTTAGAAACTTATCAGTGTTGTGAGCAGTCCCATTTGCAAAATGGATATACCACCTTCCTCACCCAGTTGTTTTGAGAAGTAACTGATACATCACTTTTGAGAAAGGTCTTTGCAAACTGTTAAGCATTTCCCACACAAGGCAATACCAAGAGGTGATTAAACAGGTACAGTAAGTTAGGATATAATAAACTGAATGCCAGGGAAAAAAAAGGTGCCCTGCTTTGTAAGAGCTGGCAACACGGCCCTGCTCTGTCTATAACCTGTTTGCAGCTGGATACGTTGATGGGAGAGGGGTGATTTTTGCTTAAAAGTCTGACAGCAGCCCCCTGCCACGGCTCCCGCCCTCACAAGTTAGAACTCTACCTTATCTGGAGCCCCGAGATCTGTGCAAAGGAGCTGCTGCGACACCCCGTCAGCACCAGCTGCTCCTATATTTAGTTACTGGTGTGGTCACTTGGGAACTTTAGAGCCTGGCAGCTGCTCCGAAGGGCAACTCGAGCCTCCTGAGCCATGTGTGCAAGCTCCTCCACCGCTGGTTCCAGCGGGTCCTCGGGACCACGCCAAGCGCGGGAGCCAGTGGGGAGGTGAGAGCCGGCGAGCTGGATCAGACCCAAGTGGCCCCGAAGGCCCACTCGAGGCCAGAACAGAGTTGACCCAGTTTCCCACCCAAGGGAAAGGAGCCCGCTGGGGCGTGAGCGGGACGGGCTGGCGCCTTGTTTTTGAGCCATGGGGCTCTCAGCGCCCGCGCGTAGTTCCCTCTGAGCATCTAAGCATCCTCGGGCTGAGCCTCTCAGGACTGAGAGTGGTGGCCAGGCTAGGGTCCCCGCGCCTGGCGCAAGGGGCCCGCCTCGCTCGTCTACCCCACCCCCCGGCGCTCGCAGCCAATGGCTCCTCGTCGCCGGCCCTCCGCTCTCCCGGCAGGCGGGGACTGGAGAGAATAAAGCAGGCAGAGGGGAGCACACAGAGATCGCAAAGGGCCAGGGGCTACCGCGCTGCCAGGAGGCCGAGAGGTACACTCTGGGGCAGGCGTGTGCAGCTCCCCAGAGCGGAAGCAAACCCCGCAAGTGTCGCTTCAGGGACGAAATACACATCACTTTCTTCCAGCAGGGGCGCCTTCCGCAGGGAACGGAGGCCCGCTCGGGACCGCTTCCCTGAGCTCCCTATTACCTGGCACTGCTGCGCCCACTCCCCCATGCCAGCCCGGGTCCAGCCGCAGTCTGCAGCAAGAGCCCGCGCGGCGACGGGACCCTGGGCACCGGAGAAGCCGCAGCAGGTGCACCGCTGTTCTTTGCACCGGTGACCTGGGGGAGGGGAGGGCACGCTGCAGAAACGGGGACACTTCTCTCCCTCTCTCCCCCAGCCCCTCCAGCGCTTAGCCTCAGACTACGTTTACTTTGCGGGGCACGAAGCGTGGGGCCCCGTTCCAGGCCGCTTTCTGCTCCACTTACGGCGACAATGCCTCCTAGCGCCCTGCGCCGCGCAGTCACGCTCCCTCAGCCGCCGGCGGCGCCCCATGCAACAGCGGCACATTGGAGCCGGCAGGGAGGGGCGCGCGGCGCCCGGGTTTTGAGCGCTGGGCCTCCAAGCCAATCGCCGTGCCAAGACGGGCGCCGGGGCGGGAACAGGCTGCGGGCCCTGGCCGCGCGCAATCATGCGGCGCGCGGGTCCTCAAGCCGCGCCCGGGAGCGGCGCGCACGGAAGGGCGGCCCGCGCGCTCTCGTCCGCAGGGTGGATCCGCTTTGTGTGCTGCTTGTGGAGGGAAAACGCTTGGGAGGGCGGGGTGTAGAGACAAACCAAGGACTAAGCCTCCAGATTTGTTTTTCTCAAGGGAATGGAGTTAAATTAGCCAGATCAGGGTAGTTTCAGACACGTGAAGATGTGGAATAGGAAACTTTTCACGTGATGCCTTCAAGTGTCCAGTTCAGGTTTTTAGAAACAACAATTCTGGCTACACTCAATTACCTCACTTCTCTAAATCACAATGTTCTCCTCTATAAAATAGAAATTAAAAGATATAAATACCTACTTCACACAGTCATTGTGAGGATTAATACATGAAATGTTTAGCGCAGCGCCCAGCAAAGTAACTCCAGGAAGGGTAATAGCTTCACAGGCCTTCACCAGGCTTTAAGGATGAGGCCCCTGACTCAACCAGTGAAGAAGATCAACAGTCAAATGGTCTAATAAACAGAAATGTCTATAAATATGTGGGAACCCCGAAGAAAGAATATTTAATTCTGCCTCTGGGGACTGGAGTAGTCAGATTAGGAATACACATTCCCCTGGGTCTTCATGGATGTTTTGGGTTGAATTGTCTCCCCCAAAAAGATATGTTGAAGTCCTAACCCCCAGTACCTCAGAATGTGATCTTATTTGGAAATAGGGTCATTGTACATAAAATAAGATCATACTGGAGTAGGGTGCTCTTAGGAGAAGGGAGGAGACAAATAGATACATGGGGACATGCCATGTGGCAATAGAAGCAGAGACTGGAGTGATGCATGTACCAGCCAAGGGACCCCAAGGATTGTGGGCAAGGACCACATGCTAGAGAGAGGCAAGGGAGGGACTCTGCCTCAGAGCACCCCAAAAGGAACCGACTTTGCTTGATTTCGGACTTCTAGCTTCCAGAACTGTGAGGGGATACATTCTCTTGTTTTAAGTCAACCCATCTTGTGGCAACGGGTACAACAGCCCTAGAAAACTAATACGATGGGTGAGTAGGAATAAAGGGAAGGGAATTAGAAACATCTCCAGAGACAGTCTTTCAAAACTGAATGCCTATTGTAGGCGAGGTCCTGTGTCTTGGGGCATATCAAAATGAACCAGACACAGGCTCTGCTCTCAAGGGGTTATCACCATTCATGAGGATGCCTGAGCAGCCATGTTTTCTGACTCCTTCCCCCAGCTTCATCATCACTGTATCCCTGCCACCAGGGTTATATATATCAGGTACCAGATAGAAATGACACATGAGGGCCAGCCGAGTGGCTCAGTTGGTTAGGAGCTTGCTCAAGAGTGCGTGCTCTGAGCAACAGGGTCACTGGTTCTATCCCCGGCCAGAGCTGAGCTGCCCCTGAGCTGCCAACAGGTGGCAGGATGGCTCAGCTAAAAAAAAAAAAGAAATAGCAAATGGATTGAGTCCTGTTATGCCCAAGCCAAGATCCTTATCACTCTGGACAAAGCAGACCCTGCTACTTCTGTTTCACTTAAAACCAGCCTTACATTTCTGGTCGATTTCCACAAATGGATGTCTCTCCCCTGCTAGGCCATATGCAGACCTGAGATAGCCAATACAGTGCCCAGTAAATACCACTGTCTGATGGGCCCAGCCTGGGGTATCCCACATTCATGTCTTACCTTACTCAGTCCCCTCTCTCAGGAATTTCATCTTGGACCCTCCAGTTCCACATGGACAAGACCCCTCGCCAGTTCAAATGCCACTTCTTCTATTCCTAGTGTGTTTGCTTCTCCAGAGCACTTACTGCATCATGCCCATTATTATGCCATCTCCACATAAATCTTTTCTCCCAAGACTCTGCCTGATGTCAAATAGACCAGAGCTTGGCACTTAGTAAGTGCTTATATCAGTCAGCACTTTTTTTTTCCTGCATAATAAAACACTTATAAGTGGCTTAAAGCAATAACTATTTAGTTCATAATTTTATGGGTCAGTATTTTTAGGTTGGGTTCAGCTGGGCAGTTCTTCTAGTCTCAGCTGAACTTCCTCATGCATCTGGAGTCAATGGCTAGGCAGTCAGAGGCCTCTGCTTCTGTGGGGTGGCTAGCTGTCAACTGAGGTTACTTGGCCATGTGTCTCTCATCCACCAGCAGGCTAGTCCAGGCTGGCTCACCTGGAGCTGCAGGGTTCTAAGAGCAAGACTGGAATCAGGCAAGGTCTCTCAAGGTCTAGGCTCTAAACTGGCACTACATCACTTCCATAGTTTATTGACTAAACCAAATCACAAATCCAGCCCAGATCTAAGGGTGGGGAAATAGACCCCATCTTCTGATGACAGGAACAGCAAAGTCACATTGCAAGGGACACGGACACAAGGATGGGTAGAGAATCACAGCTGGTTTGGCAACCTACTGCAGTGCTCAATAAATATTCCCACAATACCTAGCACATAGTAGGTGCTCGGTAAATGTTTATGGATTTCATTAAACACAATCGATTGGCAAAATTTTCTCTCTCATTCACAAAATATCCATTGCCATCTTCAGTTTCAGAATAACAAAGGAGGGGCTCAGAAAGATAGGGCTGTGCAAAGGGAAGCTGTACTAAGGCTTCTCAGTGAAGACGCTCAGCTGGTCCCAAACATGCTCCCCCAAAGAGATCCAGATTATCTTCGGAGGCCTGGGCCCCTTAGGATCCTGGTCCAAACCTGGTCACCTGAGCTGGTAGCTATACACCCTCCACCTATGAACAGAGAGGCTTAAATGTTTGCCAGGGCTTGAACACAGACCCTGTTGATGACTGAAAGCCTTGCAAACTGCCTGCCAGATAGGATACCTCTTGTGCCATGACAAAATTGTTACCTGGCTGTTTCCTGGACGGTTTACCCCTTGCTGAGAAGGAAAAATTCTCAGGGCACTTGTGCAAGGGACACTATCCTGTGGACAGACTGAGGACCCTGTTGGGGACCACTTCCCATCTGAGAATTACCTGAATCAATATCAAGGCCTGTTGCAGGTTGAATTGTGTCCCCTAAAACAGGTATGTTGGAGTCCTAACTCCCGGTACCTCAAACTGTGACCTTATTTCGCCTTAAAGTTTTTACAGAGGTAATCAAATTATCTCTTTTATTATTTTACAGAGGTAATAAAATGACATCAGGGGCCGGCCAGGTGGTGTAGTTGGTTAGAATGTGAGCTCTGAGCAACAGGGTCGCTGGTTCAATTCCCACATGGACCAGTGAACTGCGCCCTAGGTGAGCTGCCAACGGGCTGCTGATGGCTCAGCTGGTGAGAGCACTTGCTCTTAACAACAAGGTTGCCGGTTTGATTCCCACATGGGGTGGTGGGCTGCACCTCCCCACAACTGGATTGAAAGTGGTGACTGGACTTAAAGCTGAGCTTGTGCCTTTCACAACTAAGACTGAAAGACAACAACTTGACTTGGAGCTGATGGGTCCTGGGAAAACACAAGGTTCCCCTTCCCCAATTTCCCAACACTGTTCCCTTCCCCAATTTCCCAATTAAAAAATATATAAAATAAAATAAAAATTTCACAGGGGAAGCAAACTACAGAAAGAATTGGAAAATAAAAATGACATCAGTAGGGTGGACACTAACCCAGTATGACTGATATCCTTATAAAGAGGGAAAATTTGGACATAAACATGCATAAAGGGAAGACAATGTAAAGAGACACAGGGAGATAAGGGTCATCTACAAGCCAAGGACTGAGGTCTAGAACAGATCTTCCCCTCACAGCCCTCAGAAGGAACCAACCCTGCTGACACCTTGATTTTGAGCTTCTAGTCTCCAGAACTGCAAGACAATAAATTTCTGTTGCTAAGCCACCCAATTTGTGGTACTTTGTTGTAGTAGCCCTAGAAAACTAATACACTGTCTTAAATCTCTCCTTTTCTACTTTATTCTTCTCATATTTGTTCTTATGATACACCCCTTGAGTAAAAAGTATATTTAGGTAGAAACAAAATATGAAGTCCCATTGACATGTGAGTGAGACTGCATCCATCATCCTGAGTCCTCCACCTGGGGCCACACCTTACCTGAAACTGAATTACCAACAGACAGGACCTCAAGGTCACTCCAAGTCACTGTCACCCTAAGCCGAAGAGCAGTTCACCCAGTCCCTCTTCCAGAAGGTTCAGCTTGGTGACAGGTACCCACCATGAGCCCCTCTCCAGGCACTGCAGGGCTTGCAAAGATGAACAAAAAACAATCAGTGCCCTCAAGACACTTGCACTTTGCTATAGAAACTAAGATTTATACAAAAAGTGACTTTAATAAAGGGTTTCACGAGCTTTAGCCATTGCCGTACTGCCTTCCTGATATGTGCTATATCTGAGCCACAGATAGGGGTGAGCTGGCGTCACTTACACAGGCTCAGAGAGTTCACTTGCAGACCCTTCCCCATCTCTATATTCAGTGGCGTGAGTCACCTGGGTTATTAGAAATAAGCATAGTGGGAGAATTTACACCACGGAACTCAGCATACACTACAAATCAGGACTTATTTTCCTTGGACAGACAGTTTACCAGCACACTATACTATTGTTTACCTATTTTTTTCCTTTAAATTGACTCACTTTTTAACCTAAAAATGTTTATTTTAAAAGGAAACTGTAATTATTACTACAAATGGAAACTAGTATCACTTGACATAGATAGAAAGTAACCTTAAAAATAAATACAGTAAATTAATTATATCTCAATAAAATTGGAAAAGAGTTAAAAATAGAATGAAAATGAAACAATGATATTAAATTCTAGCAAATTACTGTTGGTTGCTAACAACTCCCCGCCCCCCAGGCTATTCTCCTTTGTTACAAAAGGAGTGTAGCAAGTGTTAGTAAAAAGACACACCAGCGCCTTGGGTCATTCAAATGAAACAAATTTG